TTATTTACTGTATATTGCTGCTGCCACACAGATCTAAAATAAACATGCGATTTATTTCCCAGCTGTTTACCTTCACCGACATAACCAACTGTTTTTTGTAACTTGTGCGTTTTTAATGTAAACTCGTGTGTGAATGAGAACATTAGTTTAGTACTCACTTGCTGTGACAGCTGCTTTCTGTCCGTGTGCTTCGGATGTGTGCGCTCAGAAAACCGTATATCAGAAGTTTAAACTCATATGGTTTAAAACGCATGATTTTAGCGTGATAAACATGATAATCAGAACCAAAACAGATGTTTTTTAGCAGGTATGAGCTGTAATGGCCCAGCTCTATTCTGGAAAAGGGGGCGTGGAGCAGCAGCTCATTTGCATTTAAAGAGACAGGCCTGAAAAACAGCAGTGTTTCTGCTTCCACTCAAAATAGGCATTTTCAAAATGATATAATAATTGATCTGTGGAGTATTTTGAGCTGAAATTTCACAGACACATTCTGGGGATACCAGAGACTTATATTACATATTGTAAAAAGGGGCATAATATGTCTCCTTTAAGTGAGCTATTATAATAAATATGTAAATTGATGACAAGTTTGATTTATTATTTTGAGAAGGTTATGTAGGTTTGTAAAAAAAAATATATTACCTGTGTTTTTGTGGTGGTTTATAACTGCAGATGTTTCTGTTCTTTCCTCTCATTTTGTGATTCTTTTGGAAATGGACATTTCTCTACAGTGTGTCTCCCCCTGGTGGTGACTTCTCAGATCCCGTGACTTCTGCCACTCTTGGTATTGTGCAGGTGGGTGGATCCTATGAAAACCCATGACATTAACATGATGTGATGTTGTTGTTTTTGTTTTTTTGGTAATCATGTAACTGAAGCAGTAATAGAATCTTCCATTACTTTTTTCCCCCTCTCATTTGAACTGTTGCCCTCAGGTGTTTTGGGGTCTAGATAAGAAGCTTGCCCAGAGGAAACACTTCCCTTCTGTTAACTGGCTTATCAGTTACAGTAAATATACACGAGCACTGGATGAGTACTATGACAAACACTTCCAAGAGTTTGTGCCGCTGCGTACCAAAGCCAAAGAGATTCTGCAGGAGGAGGAGGACCTGGCTGAGATTGTGCAACTTGTTGGAAAGGTGTGTTTGTGTATGTTGTTTATCAAAAGGTGTTATTAAAACATAGAGTTTTTGCATTTTATATTTTTTGTGTAATGACATTTCTAATTAAATGTATTCAATGTATATAGTTTATTAAATATATTTGTATTAATAGTTTATATAATGTATTTGTATTGATTCTGAATGCATTTATTTTGTTTCTTCCCCATAGGCATCTCTGGCTGAGACGGATAAAATCACTCTGGAGGTGGCCAAACTCATTAAAGATGACTTCCTGCAGCAGAACGGTTACACTCCCTATGACAGGTTACCTATTCATCTGTACAATATGAAGAATGTGACATTCCCACAGACCCCTTTTTTAGCTGTCGTCTTGTTCTAGTTGCCTGTTTGTCATTCTGTGCTAATTATTTCTCATATTATCTCCCTGTCTCTTTTTCTCTTCCAGGTTCTGTCCCTTCTATAAGACAGTGGGGATCTTGTCTAATATGATAGCTTTTTATGACCTGGCCCGGCATGCTGTCGAAACCACAGCGCAGAGCGATAACAAGATCACCTGGGCCCAGATCCGTGAACACATGGGAGAAATTCTTTATCGGATCAGCTCCATGAAGTTTAAGGTACCGTTTGCTCAAATACTGATGTTGGGATTTTTGTAGATGTAAAGGTCAGACCACAGGTAAAACATAAATATGAAATTATAACTTTTATCTTAAAAAAACTTAAAAATTAGAAATGTTATGTTGGCAACTAACTGAAATAAGTTTAAGCTGAATTACAAAAAAAAACAAAAAAAAAATTCAAGCTAAATAGAAATATAAACCCCCCCAAAAAAACGAATAAAAATGCCAAAAGCACATAACAAAATTACTAAAACCTAAACTAAAATTAACGTGAAAACCAAAAATATGAAAATAAAACCTAATTCAATTATTGATAAATACTATAATACTATATAATAGTGTATACACCATTATATCTTGTATTTTATTCACATGTCTTTATTTTTTATTATCTGTGTGTTGTTGTTGTCTGTGTACTGAAAGCTTCTGTCACCAAAACAAATTCCTTGTATGTGCACACATACTTGGCAATAAAGCTCTTTCTGATTCTGATTATTGTCTGATTATTTAATGAGGATGTAGGGTTGAGTCTATTGTGTCCCATCCTGTTTTCAACCAAAAGACCATACAATTATTTGTAAAATGTTTAAAAGTGTTTGAATATGTGACCCTGCCTGTGAAAACCCAGCTAAAGTCATTGTTTTTGTGATTTACTGTTTTCTACATAAAATCATCCTTCATAAAGATGCAGAACATTCTGTGAAAATATAACCTTTATATCTTTAATATTGACTGAGTAAGGCCATGTCAAAGATTGAAATCATAGTGAAATTAATGGTTGAAATCAAACTTTGATGCTTGTTATCTCATAATTAGATTTTGAGACTTTAGCCTGGATTTCACAGACAGGGTCACATACAGAAGCATAAAATACGGTATTAAAAATGAAATGGGAGTATTAAAAAAAGAGGTATTAAAATTTCCTTAAAAATCTAATATTGTAATTCATTTGAATAGTTGAATAGTGACTGAAAATGTGTTAATAGTGTACTTAATTTATTATAATTATTTATACATATTCATTATAATTTGTTAAATAATTTGATTATTTACATTAATTTCATGCCTAACATTGAGCAATTTTCCATAATTGCATGTGTCTGTGTGTTTTGCAGGATCCAGTGAAAGAGGGTGAAGCAAAGATCAAAGCTGACTACGCTCAACTGCTGGAAGACATGCAGAATTCTTTCCGCACTCTTGAGGACTGAAAGCAACCTTTGACCCCACACGTGTCCCACCTCTCTCCTCCCCTGTGCTGTGCAGTGCATTTCCCAGTGCTCCCTTGTGCATGTGTACCTCTCGTCTGAATATACACTCAAACTGTTCAGCTGATCTGAACGAGACGAATGAAAGTCAGAGCTAGTAGCCATCGCTAATCTCAACACGGTCGTTATAAACGCAAAAAGAGTGTGTGTTCTCACTCTATAACTACAACTGTTACTTGGTGTTTGAACTATAAGATTGTATTTTAGCATCTTAGGCAAATGCCTCTGTGATCTCTCTGTGCTGAGACTCGACACTTGAAGCACAAACACAGCAAATATTCATCTTCTCTTTTTCTCACCACCTGCTTTCCCATGAGTCCTCGTTGCATATGTTAGGAGCGCAGGGGAGCACAGTGTTTACTCCCATCGCAGTTTTTTTTCTCTGTGACCAATAGAAATGAGTTCTACAATAATGGGAACAATGGAAGTCAGAAAGGGATCATTGAGGCTTCCCTTATTTATTTGAATCTTGTTTTGTCTCATTAATGTGATTTCTGCTCTGTGTGAGTGTGCATGGGTGTGTGGGTAGAGTATTGTGGCTTCTGTAGTAGTACATTACTGCATTTATTGTGTGTGGTGCTGTGTGTTCAGTTCCAAAGAATTAAACTATTGGAAACTGTTTGAATGACTCTGTTTTATGATAACAAAATTAGATTTCATTCTGTGTAGTTCTTCTCTCACTTATCTCCTCTAACTTTCAAAAGTTTGGGGTCTGTAAGTTTTTTTTAAATGTTATTTAAAAAATTTTCCTCACCAAATCTGCATTTATTTGATTAAAAGTTGAGTAAAAATAGTAGTATTGTGAAATATTATTACAATTTAAATGAATGTTTTTTTTTATATATATTTTAAAATGCAATTTATTCCTGTGATGGAAAAGCTGAATTTTCAGCAGCCATTACTCCAGTCTTCAGTGTCACATGATCCTTCAGAAATCACTCTGATTTGATGATCTAAAATGCTGATTTGGTGGAGTAACATTTTTTTTCTTTCTTTTTAAAATAATGTTGAAAACATTTGTGCGGCTTCATTTTTTTTGTGTCGATTCATTAAAAAAACGTTAGATGAATAGAATGTTAAAGAGAACATTAATTTGACAAAAAAGTTTTATAAATGTTATTATAAATGTCTTCATCACTTTTGATCAGTTATATGTTTTCCTGCAGAATAAAAAAATTTCATTTCTTGAAACATGTTTACTGACCCCAAACTTTTGAATGATATTGTAGGTCTGTGTTTCCAATTTGAATATCTTTACAAATTCACAATATTTTGATTATTTATTTATTTTTAATTAAATATATATTTCTTGCTTTCCTCTGAGACAGGCTTGTGTTGGCCTGGCCTCATGGATGTTTTTCAAGCTGTGGTTACTCGTGTACTTACATGAGACAGGGAAGTCACCAGAGATACTTTGAACAGTAAAACTTGTTTGTGTCAGAAGGATATATGGTGATTTTCACAGTAAACGAACCTAAACCCATGGGACAAAATCACAGTCACAAACCAGTTCACAACCGGCTATTTATGAGGTGAAGGCCCTGCTGGGTCTTACAAAAAGCATGCAGGTGAAAATGAAGAACTTTGCAAAATAGAATACTGAAGCACAGCATGAGTGTTGAGATCAGGCCTCTCTTCAGAGGAAATGTATTCAGTGTTGAGTGCTTAAGATTGAGTTCTGATTGATACAACTTCATAATGGTACTCTGGTATGAAGCCAGTTCAGCCTCTGCTAAATATTCTATCCACTCAACAGTCCATCTGCTCAGCTTGAGGCATGCAAAGGACTTACATCAGTGTCTACTAAATAACATCTATAATATGTTGTTATGATCCTATTAAAAGACTTGCAATTATGAAAACATATGTGCATGCATATAGATCAATAAAAAGCAAAAACAAGTATGCAGATATGATCTTGCATATGGGGCACGGCTGGTGTTCTAACACTGACAGAGCAATGAACTGAAAGTTGTATCAGCCATATAAGTCGTCATATAAAACTCAAAAGATCATGTTAAAAATAAATACACAGCAGACTGGATTAAATAAACAAAAACATTAACCGTAACTATTTTTCATCTTAGGAACCATTCATGCAGAAATACAGCTATTTTCAAATGGTTCATGTACTTATTCTTACAAAGGAAATGCATCCTCACATTTGATATTTAATAGGTGATGACATACAGTCTGTTGAATATAAATGATTTATGACCATGAACTACTAGGTTACTCCAGGCTGGTACTGGCATGAGAGCAAGACGTACACATGTTTATGTTAGTGTGTTTTTATTAAGGTCTAGCTGCTGAACTGTAATGTTTTTTGGATATAGAGGGAGGGAAGAAATAAAGTCGGCTCATTTGTTTGAGCTTCCTTGTTAATTTGTCAAGGTAAGTTAGTAGAACACAGAGAAATGAGAAAGCTAAATGCTAAGAGAAAGATATAGTCTTACCTGTGAGGGTAGAGTGGAAAAGGTGACTAAGTAAGGTTCTGGAAGGTAAGAGACTGAGGAAGGCCATTTCTGTCTCAGAGAAGTGTCACACTCTGACACTGAGCTGACAGAGCTACACTTTATTTTCCCCTCCTACATCTCACACACACTTTAGTCCTTTTTCACTCACACAGCATTACCTTATTTATCTATTTATCTACACTGTAAAAAACTGTAAAAATAAGACACAATATACTGTATTAAAGTGAAGGAATTGTATGTATTGATTTTTTACAGGTCTTTTACCTGGATTTTGTGCTCCATTGCGTTGTTTTAGAGTAACTAGGCAACGTCCTTGACACCAGCGGGGACGTTCTGAGGACATTCTGGGAACGTCAGATTTCAATGTAAAATATGGTCCCCTAAACGTCCTGAGAACGTCCTGAATGTTCTGTGAAGGTCCTCCAAATAACGTCAACCCAACCCTTTAAAGAACTCGACATTGTGACCGTCTCAGAACGTTCTGGGGATGTAACTAGGCAACGTCCTTGACACCAGCGGGGACGTTCTGAGGACGTTCTGGGAATGTAAATTTTCTAGCGGGGTTAATGGAAATTCCCGTAAAAATTAATGTATCGTGTCCTAGCCGAAAACTGCTAGTACACTCTCCGTTATTTATTTATTTTTTTATAGTCTATCTATCTATCTATCTATCTATCTGTAAGGTCTGTTTTGGGTTTTGTTTCTTGTTCATTGTTTTCATGTCTTTTATTTTGTAGTTAGGCCGCAGTCATGTTCTGTCATGTGATTCCCTTGTCTGTGTGTCATGTTCTGATTGGTTGTTTTAGTCATGTGTCTTGTGCGTATTGGTTTATGGTCTTGTCATGTGGTTCTCAGTTCTGTTTGCCCATTGGTTGGATTGTGTCATGTGTTCTGCATTTGTTTGGTATAAGTAGCCCTCATGTTGCCATTGTCTCTCCTCGAGAGTATTGTCCCTGTAACCTCTGTTGGTGAGTTCGTGGTTTTGTTTATGTCAAGTCTGCTCATGCTATGTCTGTTCATGCCAAGTCAAGTCAAGTCAAGTCAAGTCTTTGTTTATTGTTTGGATGTTTGGATCACTTTGAATAAAGCTGCACATGGGTTCTCACTACGCTCGCCTCAGTGGACTATCATTACAGAATACTCGACCTAAAGAATGAACCCAGCAGTTGCACTTCTGCAGTTACGTCAAGGCCATCGGGCAATAGAGGATTATGTTCAGGATTTTTGTGAACTTTCTAACCGGGTGGACTTTAATGATGTGGCGTTAAAGGACATTTTTCGGGGGGGTCTGAATGAGCCCATTTGCTCCCAGCTTCCTGGGGGAAAAGTTCACTGGTCCCTTGCCGAATATATAGACTATGCCGTACTGCTGAGTGGATCACCATTCACTGTGGGAACTGTGGATGATGGTACCCACAGTCCCGCAGCACCTACCAAGCCACAGTCTGCTCACGTCATATCTGCTACTCCAAAGCCCGCTCACATCATGCCTGCCAAGCCAGCTCCTGCTCATGTCATGCCTGTCAAGCAAGAACCTGCTCACATCATGCCAGTTAACCTACCAAGCCACAGTCTGCTCACGTCATATCTGCTACTCCAAAGCCCGCTCACATCATGCCTGCCAAGCCAGCTCCTGCTCATGTCATGCCTGCCAAGCAAGAACCTGCTCACATCATGCCAGTTAAGTCAAAGTCTACTCATGTCATGTCCACCATGTTAAAACCTGATCATGTCATGTCTGCCGTCTCGTCACGTCTCAGCTGATCTTCAAGAGTCTCGTCACGTCTCAACTGATCGTCCAGAGTCTCGTCATGTCGCAACTGATCGTCCAGAGTCTCATCACGACATGGCCACCATTTCAGAGCCTTGTCCCATCATGGCCGCCATTTCAGAGTCCGCTCACGTCAAGCCTGAGTCCCCGGCCAAGATGGCCACCACGCATGATTCCCCGGCCAAGATGGCCGCCACGCCTAAGTCTCGCCATGCCGCGGCTGTCGCCAAGATTTCCCCAAAGGATTTTTTGGGCTATACTACCCAAGCTCCTGCGGATGCGGAGCTTGGGCTTGGACTGAAAGGTCTGATTGCTAGTGTGATGAACCCACCTCTGATGTCGGTGCGAGCTGCAGGCATCCCCATGACATCAGTGCTCTCAAGCCCAACCGTCCTAGAGGTCCTGCCACCCTCTGCTGCCCTTACTGTAATGGCGGTCGCCATTTTGAGAGTGTGGGCTGCACACTGCGCTCAAGAGGCCTCTCCTGTCCATGAATCTGCTCCTGAGGCCTCTCCTGTCCATGAATCTGCTCCAGAGGCCTTTCCTGTCCATGAATCCAATCCAGTGCCTCCAGAAGTGGTAGCTTCCGTTGCAGAACCTCCAGAGGTGGTGGCCTCAGCTGCAGAACCTCCTGAGGTGGTGGCGTCCGCGCTCCTGAGGCCTCTCCTGTCCACGAGTCTGCTCCTGAGGCCTTTCCTATCCATCAGTCTGCTCCAAAGGCCTCTCCTGTCCATGAATCTGCTCCTGAGGCTTTTCCTGTCCATGAATCCAATCCAGTGCCTCCAGAAGTGGTAGCTTCCGTTGCAGAACCTCCAGAGGTGGTGGCCTCAGCTGCAGAACCTCCTGAGGTGGTGGCGTCCGCTTCTGAGCTCTTTGCCTGTCCTGTCACGGCCAAGGAGGCCGTTCATAAACTCACTGTCTGCCTTGTCACAGCCATGGAGGCCGCTCACAAACTCACAGTCTGCCCTGTCACGGCCAAGGAGGCCGTTCATGAACTCACTGTCTGCCTTGTCACAGCCATGGAGGCCACTCACAAACTCACAGTCTGCCCTGTCACGGCCAAGGAGGCCGTTCATGAACTCACTGTCTGCCCTATCACGCGATGGAGGCCGTTCATGAACTCCCTGTCTGTCCTGTCACGGCCATGGAGGTCGTTCATGAACTCACTGTCTGTCCTGTCACGGCCATGGAGGCCGTTCATGAACTCACTTTCTGTCTTGCCACGGCCAAGGAGGCCGTTCATGAACTCACTCTCTGCCCTATCATGGCCAAGGAGGACGCTCTCGAACTCACTGTCTGTCCTGTCATGGCCATGGAGGCCGTTCACAAACTCACAGACTGACCTGTCATGGCCAAGGAGGCCGTTCTAGAAT